ATAGCACAAAGCCAACAGAACTTGTACCTTCTAAATACAAATGTGTATTCTTTCCAGTCACGCTGTGTTGACCCCCCAAATCCGTATGTTGAAGCCCTAACGCCCAATGTGACTGTTTTGGAGACAGGATCTTTAAGGAGCAATTTAAGGTTAAATAAAGTCATGAGAGTAGGGCCCAAATACAATAGGACTGGTGTCCTTATAAGAAGAAGAAGACACAGCAGGGAAAGCATAAAGAAATAGCCATGTGAGGACACAGCAAGAAAGTAGTCATTTGCAAGCCAAGGAGAGATGCCCAAAGAGAAACCAACCCTGTTGGCACCTTGATCTTGAGACTTCCAGCCTGCAGGACTGTGAGAAAATAAATGTCTGTTGTTTAAGCCATATAATCTGTGGTATTTTGTTATGGCAGTCCTAGTAAACAAATACATACTGCTACCTCAGAATTAGTACAGAGCAACAATCATCAAGACATCTCGAAAGGCTTTATATTACATGACATTTGTATTTAAATTAGCAATTCCATCCTGTTAATTCCATATTTCAAAAGAGGTGCCAAAATCTTGAGAGCTAAACCTGGGGTTGATCATTTAATCGCAAACATTTATTGTTCTGGCCTACACTCTATGACGAGTTGTATGAATAACATGGTGACCACTGCTCTCTAACAGTGTGTAAACAAATAAAGAGAGATTCAAACTAGAGTATGAGATGTGCCTTAAGTATGTTACAACGAAGTGTTCTAAGAATGTAGAAGCTCTGAAGTAACCTAGAAACAAAGAAGAAATCATAGGCCCTGCTTTTTCAAACTATTTCTTATTCAATACTGCTTTATGAGCATTTTTTTGTTTACAATAAATGGTGTTTAATATTCCATGCAAATATAGATTTTCAAAAATGATATCAACTTTTTTAACCTTTATTCCAATAAAAAGCACTTTATTCCAATATTTACAGCCACAATGCCTACATAGAAACTATTATAGAATGATAGCACTATGACAATAGCACGATATATGTTATTTCTGTCAATCCTGACAACAACTCTACCCACAGTAGGTATTATTGTCCTTCTTCTCACAAATAATATATCAGCTTACAGAGTTCTTTGCATTTTATCTTCAAATATCTCAAAAATTATATTCCTAATGAATCTAGATTCATAAATACATTCTCGATCTAAAATGTTCACTACTTCTAAAAATATTTTCTTAAGTCCTATCTAGACATTTACAGAAGAAAAATTAAATGTGCATATAGCACAGGATGATACAGAGATTCCAACAAAATTTCTGAAATCATGTTTCCATTAAAAATCAAATGATTAAGTTATAATCAAAAATGGTCAAATATCAGCAGTTTATATAGTTCAACTTTAATGTATGACATGTAAAAAGAAAACCTTACCTTAATTAAGGTGACCCTTTCATTAGCTTAGACAAATATGAAACACAGGTAGAGTTTTACAGGGGAATATTTTCTCTGCAACACTTCTCAGCCATCAAGAAACTGACTCTTTCAGTTGGTTCAACATGTGAGCTGGTTTTTCATCCAAAATGACAATTTACTGCTATGACTTCATGTTCGGTTCCCAGTTTTTCCCATCTCTGACTCAACTTTATTTCAGTTTAACAACATATGAACTATCTGCTCATCAAGTGCAAAGCTACATTCCAGGTTTGGGATTTCCTGCCTATCTCATTCTATGGTGTCCTATTAAGTATCATTAAGCTAAAGACATAGTAAATAACCTACAAATATCATTTGACTCGAAGAATGTATTAAGTATACTTCCATTAAAAGCATAAAAACGGTAAAAAGGTCTTACATCACAGAATAAAAAATACCCAAACTTAGGTATGTTAAATCGAAATCAAAATTTCATAAACAATAATGCTGGTAATCTATTACAAGCAAAAGACTTTAGAAAGCAAACTATAACTTTCTCTTCAAGTGCTACATTCATTGTTGAAAAAGTTTTAAGACATATTAATGACAAAAACCAATAGGAGACCTAAACATTCATAAGTTTATGTTCCTTCTGCACTAAAAATGCTTCTTTGTGGTCCTCCATGCCCCTGCAACTCAGAGTATGCTCTGAGACCAGAAGCACCACCCTCACCTGGGACCTTGTTAAAAATGCAGATTCTCAGATTCATCCCCAACCTGCAGGATCAGAATCTGCATTTAATATGATCACAAGGTGATCCTATGCACGCTGAAGTTCAAGAAGCTTCAGTTCAAGAAGGCAGTTCAAGAACTGCCCAACGTATGTTCTTAACTTGGGTCCTAGGGACAACATGAGTTTCATGAATCTCCTGAAATTTCACACAAAACTTTTTGTGAGTGACTATGTGTACATTTTCCTGGGGAAAGACTCCATATACTTTTATCAAACTCTCAATGTAATCTACAATCTTAATAGATTAAGAACCACTTCCCTACAGGATTCTATGCCATAGTTTAAAAGTCAAAATATTTCAAAAACTATTTACGCTGCTCTCAATGAGGTCTATTGAAGAATGACAAGAATGAAGGTCAGAACGTCACAGTGGGTCACGAAAGACCTTATCTGAAGAATTTATTCACACCATGCAAGAACTATGCCAAGAAACCAGTTTGGAGACATCTAAATAAATAATTCTCTACATGAGGTTTGAGATTAAGAATGTGCACTTGAAGAAGATTCAAACTGAGAAGTAAATAAATATAAGGTAGAATTTTTTTAAGATAGGATGCCATTAGATGACAGTGAAGTGCTGAATTCTTGTTGTAAGAGCTCAATCAGCAAATCTCTAATGTGAATTCTGTTTGATTTGGGAGATGGGAGCATTTTTAAATGTTAACTTCCAAGCACATTCTTATAATGCTTCTTTTATGAGGAAGCCCCAACACACTTTACTAGTCCCACTCTTCATCGTCTCTGGACCTCAGAAGACAAAACAAAGAAAAAATATGGCACAAAAATCAAAAGGGACATGTCCAGGATTTTCAGTAAGTTAATGACAAAGAATGGCTCCTATCCAGAAGGTTCCCAGTGACATATGAGAACCGTGTATATATTTCATTCTTTTACCTTATCGTCTAACCATGTCTTCAGGGTATGTATTAAGGAAACTTCTGTTTCCTTAAGCCATAGTGCCTGATACGATTTAATTTCCTTCACAGGCACCCAAAACGTAAATAAAAGGCAGTAAGTGGTCTTTCTTGAGACTGATTCTTTACTGTTTTAGTACTTTAACTTGTCATCAGTGATGAGCCTAATACCTGACAGTCTGGTCCCCAGAGTAGACCCAATCACTCCAGACGAGAAGATAGAATACCAGGAAATATTCGGGGGAATCAAGTCTTCTCTGCCCTTTTCTATTACCATGGGCATCAGGCAAATATCTGGTTCTCTTCTTAGCTCTATTTCTCAGCACTATTACAAGTCCTGTTATCCAAGTATGATAGGAATTACGATAAAACTTTCACTCATTGTTAACTATTAATGTACCTCATTTACATAATAAACATATCCTGATAAAGTATAAATTATAGATACAATTACTCACTTATATTGTAGAACTGTATAATGTTCCCCTCAATAATGATAACCATATAAAAGAATGTAGTACTTTACACATATGATAGTCTCTCAGACATTCGATCAAACTTAAATGCTAATGTTTTAGACACATAATTAACTTGGTTATTTGCTTTTCAGCCCAAACAGTTTAAACGGTGCCAGCTCGATTTTTGACGTGAAAGAGGAATCATAATGAGATGCACACTGATGGTAGTGATGCATAATAGAAGTCACTAAGAAAGAGTAATGAACATAGGACAGAAACTGATGACATTTGCATAAACCATCTTTTATGGTACAGGCACCTGTGCAGTCCTATAGGGGCAGAGACTACTGTCTTTATTTGGTAGAAGAAAACACTAAAGTTCGAACAGATTAAACAATTACCTAAGATTACAAAGTTAGACAGTGACAAGTTTGGGGGTGACAGGAGAGTAAGGAGGGTAGTAAGGATGTAACAAAGGACAAGGATGGGGAAGAGACAGTGAACCCAGTTGCATGTGGAGAAATGAAGCAACAACAAGGAGACAAGCACTTAAAGGCAAACAGGTTACCAAGTACAGGAGTAAAGGGCTCCTCGCACATATCACTGAACATCTGTAAAGTAAATGGTATGATTACATGTGATGGGCTTTTTTTAATAAAATAAATGGCAGAGCTGGGATTTGAATGCAGTCTGTCTAATTAAATGGTCATGCCCCTAACCACTACATTCACAGAAAAACTGATCCAATTTACGCAAATAAATATTTAGAAAAACATTTTAACAGGAAATCTCACATCACAGTTGTTTTTTAACTATACATTAAAAATACACTTTTTAAAAACACATTAAATATACTTCCAACAACAAAGGAGGATATAAAAATGTATACTAGTTAAGCCACTTAATCTTATTCTTTACCTGAAAGTGACATAGAACTAATCTAAGAGGTTATGAATATGTCAAAAAATTCCCAGATTCCCTATAATCATTCATACATTTATTTCCTCCAGAAGTGTATTCTCAACCTTCTGAAACCCTTTTACATTTCAATCTGAACCATATCTCAAGGCTAAAAAAAAAACCTCTGTTTTTTTCCCCCACTGTTTAGAGTAACATTTTTTATTTGTCTCAGTAGCTTTGTTCTAGTTTCAGTGGAGGTCACCTAGATCTCTTTCTCCAGGCCAAGTACCTACCTATATCTACCCAGTCAATATACAATCAAACAATTCTGAAAATTATTTAAAAAACAGACAAGCGCATTTAAAATCTAAAGAATCAGAATCTCAGATATCTTAGTACATTTTCAGTTTCCTTCAATCAGGGCCCATTCATATTTAAAATGCTATCTAATTCCAGAATATCACACAAGTTGTATTAAATGGATAAATTCTTTATCACATCTCAAACTATCATTTAAATCACATCCCCAGTTCAAATATTAGTTACCTCGTCATCATCTTCCTCATCTTCAACATCCAAAATTCCTGAATCCTGTTCAGACTTGGGGCTAGTGCTTTCTATCTCTGTATCAAAAATTGTATATGCATCTTTCTTAGATTTCCTCTTGCTACCTATTCTGGGTTGTTGCAAGACGATGTTGTCCAGGTTTCTTTGTTGTTGGGCCTAGGATAGAGACATACACATACGTTAAAAAAAGAAAGAAAAGAAAAGAAGGCATTCAGAGAACTTCTAATTTTAAACAAATTGGTACCTTAAAGAAAATACCAGAATAAAATGCCTTAAAACATAAAGATGTAGCCCCAGAAATAAAACCAAACACATTAATGTATACATTTTCGATCCTGAAGTTACTCCTCTTGATTCATTTTTCCCAGTTTCCAAAGGGGAAAAGAAGGATAATCAGTCAATATTATCATAAGACTTTTCAAATATACTGACCAAATCATCACAAAAATGAAATCTACCCCTTTTCCTTTAAGTAGCCAATAGATAAGAGATTCGTGCAAATGACCAAGCATTTAAGTCTTATGAGATAAACACCATACTGGAATCACTGTGATTGGGTGAGACCTTTAAGCCTAGGAGACTCTTAAAACCAATTGTGTGGGTATAAGAGATCAACACAATTCTCTTGATTAGGAAAATAAAATATCTTAATAGAGTGATTTGAACTAACTAATCCAACAGGATTTCATGACCCTAATCTGTGAAAAACAGAGTTTTAAAGGATTTCTTCTTCTGAACTTTTAGAGAAAGGATGTGTAATCCCCTCAGCTTGGAAATACAGACTCAAATGATCATGTAGTTTCAATAGACACAAAGAAGTAGAAAGCGTCAGTCTCCAGGGTCAACAACAAAAGTACGAAACAGTATTAGAGCTATAAGTGACTTAGTCATCACTCAGGAAACATAAGAAGTTAATAGATTATGAACCTCTAAGTGTGATTTTCTAAATTCCAGATCGGTGATATTCCTACTACACCAAAAGTTCCTCAGATCATGGCAAAATGTTTCCCCCAAAAAACAGGTTCTGTGGTCAAATAAGTGAAAAACATTGCATGTCATGTAGCCTTCTTGTAGATACATAATGTTCATTAACAGAATAAAAACTGGGAGACATCCTATTTTAAGATACTTCTTTAATTTGATTTAACCCAGCATGTTGCAAAAATATTTCATAATGGAATTTACCTTTTTTAAAAAAAATAATAGTCTCATCCTAAGATACAAAGTTTGAGAAATGTTGCTCCTCAGAATATATACTCCTTAATCAATATATGATATTTCTCCTCAGTGACCAACAGATATTAGTTCAGGAGAAAATCAATTTCCAAATATTCTGAACGTGATTCTGAATTCAAGACAAATATTACGTATAAGATGTTAGTTCAGGCACCGGTTAAATGAGACAATTATAAAAGGACAGAGAAAAACTTGAACTATGCGAGCTAGTTTCTGCCAAGAAAATGAAAAGAATCTACATTCCACAGATTTGTATCAATGGACAAACTTGTTCCTCTACATAGTACTCACTGATATTTTGCTTTGATTTATATAAAATACATGGCTTCAATAACAAACTGAGATAGAGAAGGCACCCCAAAACATTTCATTTAGGTTTGTACATAAGACGAACATATCATCCAAGCATTAGAGACCCCTAATTAGGTAGAATACTCTTTCTTTTCCTCTCAAAATAAGTTCTTCCCCAGTTACTGCCAATGCAAACCGCACAAAACAGGATCGAGGACTCTGGGGAGGCAAAAAGGGTTCGAACTTCCTAAAGCTTTCATATTTAAAAAAGCAAGCCCTCAACTACAGAGTGATCACTTACTTGTCCCTTAACTCTATCTTCTCTTTCAGTGCAGCAATACCAAACGCTTTCATAAGTTGGGCTTACTTTATTGAATCCCAAGTTAATTATCCTTTCACAGTCAGTAAAAAAACTGCCAGTGTATCGAAAGCAATGAAAAAAAAAAAAGCCACACTTAAATACTGTCATTTAAACCTGAAAACCTGAAATGATACAAATCTCAAAATATCCAATGGGAGTAATTTTAGATCTCCTACAACTTGCTCTTTTCCATTGGTATGTATCTGGTTTTCCCATCAATTTGGAAAAGCGCAAAGTAGTTTGGACCAAATCAGCCAATTAAGACAGCAAACCCTATGTTAGAAATCAAAGCATTTCAAGTTGCGTTCCAAAGATCTATCAGAACTTGAGGTCTGTGTTAGAATTATCAAGGTTTCTCCAATCTGCAAAAGAGCAGTCAGGGCAGATCTGCCAAGCAGCCACAGGCCAAGTTAGAAACACTGAATCCCAAGTAGAATGATGAAATAAACACTCAGGTATTACCCATTATGGATGGAAATGAAAATTAACATCTAACATCTATTTAGAATGTATGTTACAGGACTGGCAGGAAGTGGAAATAAATAAATAAATATATATAATACATATTAAAATAAGAAGTTCATGGGGGAAAATCCCAGTAAAAGCCCTTCAGAGTTCTCTTCTAACATGCTAACCTAATCTTTCTCACCAGGACTACTTATTCCGTCCCTGCAGAGACAATCTTTGTCATCATGAGCCAAAGAAGCAGCTGCGTGATTTCTCCGCCTGAATTGAGTTGTATAGGAGGATACAGAGCACACAAGTAGCAGCTAGACCTTAGAAAACATTTAGGCGTGCTCTCTTTCTTAGCTCTTCATTCTCCTTGTGAATAAATTTTATACATTTAACCACTTCTTCTCAGGATTCCCTCACATATATTCTTCTCTGCTTTCCTACCATATAGAAATTAAGCAAGGTTTATTTCTCAACCCCTCTTCTCTTACCACACTTTCTACTCTCCCAAGATCCAACAGCACGTCTCCAGTTTCCTGTTACTCCTGTGTAACTCTGCCATCGTCTCACTCCCACCATACCTGAAATGGAACTCATCACCTTCTCATTACAATTTCCCTGCACACTGCGGCCAGGCTCTTCTTAAGCCACATCATTCATCACACCAAATTAGACATGAGGGAAATTGGGGAAAAAATTTAAACAAGTACAAATCCAAACTCCATAATCCATCACTTAGACTCCACCAACAGTGGAGGCTAAACCTAATTTTCCAATGTACTTACCCAGTACTCCCCAACATGAATCTTCCACTTGAATGAGACTGTACCTCATAATATACTAGGTGTATTTCCACTTCTATATTTCAACTGAATGACTTCTTCCTACCTGAATCTAAACTTTCTTCCAAAACCTAACTAAAATTCTTCTGCCTTTAAAAAGGCTCCTCTCACTGCCTTAATTCATGGTACTTTCTCTCTGTATTCCTATTTTCAGTCAAACATATATTGAATGTCTACCTGGTACCAGGCATCGTGCTCACATATACTAAGTATACAAAGAAAAAGATGGAGTCTCTGACTCATGAACCTCACATTAAACTATTATGGAAAGCAGATAGGCATATAAGTGGCTGAAATTCTCTGCGATAGTATAATAATAGAAATAAATACAGAGGACAATGGTTGAATAAATGGTTGGAGAGAGTTCGAGAAAGGCTTCACAGAGGAATAGGTAGCAAACTATGCTCTTAAAAGATAAATATGATTTTTTCCAAAGAGAGGTAAGTAGAAAGGGTAACCATTACAGAAAAAGGGAAAAGCATGAGAAAGAACCAGGTGTGAAATAACATTATCTACCCAAGGAATAAGTAATTTTGTGTAAGATCATAGTTTACAAAGGATTAACAACAGATAAAGTTAAAGATGTCATATGTCGCAGTTTCAACGTTAGTTAGTAGGCAATGGAGAAACAATGAAAGAGCCTAAGCTAAGGAATAACAGGATCAGCTTTACAATTCAGGCATATCCTCTAGCAGCAGAAGAGTGGTCAACTGGGAGAAGATAAAGACTGGAAACAAGAAAACCCATGTAGGTCACTATAATAGTCCAAATAACAATGATAAGGACTTGAATTAAGGTAACACCAGATACATAAGAGGCAGAAGCACCAGAATTTACTAATTTGAATGTAGTACATGGAAGACAGGGAAGAAGTAAGAATAACTCCTAGTATTCTGGCCTTGATGATGAGATGGTGGGGTCATTCCAAATGGTAGGAACCATGGAAATAGTAAGCTGAGAGCAGGATGGAGAAAATGAGTTCAGTAAACTTGTCAGATGGCCAGGTAAAAAAAATGACAGTACAACCCTTCAGTATGCAACTCTTCTTTCTTTGAGGGTAGGAAACACACTTTACCATTCTTAGACTTCACATATTCAGTAAATTTAGATAAATAATTACTATATAAAGGCAATAAATAAACAAAATAAATCTATGTGAGAATGACATTTGGCCCAATAAAAGAAAGGGGTATCTGCAAAAGAGGTAATTTGGATTTTTTCCTATCTATTAGAAGAGGGGAAAAACCCATAAGAATTATCTAATCTGGGTTAATATGTTGCTATTAACCTAATATGTTGCTATATAACCTAATATGTTGCTATTAAGACTACGACTGTCGAAGAGTATCTATGAAGCATTATTTATATCTATATGTATGCATATATATAGGCTATAAAATAAAGCTTTATTGTGAAATACAACTTTCAAGGGTGCCTAGCAATAAGACTCAATTAAAATTATGAGAATCAAAAACTGAAGGCTCCTGTCTTCATCAGCCCAATACTGACCTCTAGTGGGTTAAAGGAATACATACAAATGACCTTTAGAACTAGAATTGAGAAGGGTATAGATTGGATGCCTATACAGTTACATGGACTTCCATTTCAGGGTGCTATAACAAAAAACAAACAAACAGAAAGCTTCTTGGAGTAAGACAGGTCTTTAAATCTAAGCTCTGCAACTTAATTCTATAACCTTGGGCAGTTTCTTCACTTCTCTGGGACAATATTCCCATTTATTTAAAAAAAAAAAGAAAAGGTTAATAAAAGGTACCTTAGAACTGCCATAAGGATTAAATGAGATAATATAAATTACTTTGAATTTAAAAATAAGCAAAAAAAAAATTTTTTAAGCCCTACCCATCTTCCCTCTGAAAATGGGATAGGAATCTTGTTTCACTGTCACCTATGGACGCATTTGTAATCTATTAAATATTTAGATACAAAATCATTACTGGCATATAATACTGCTA